CATTTCTTATATGGCCTCACTCTAAAAAAAAAAAACTAATTTGTAACTCTAAAAATACAACCCCTCAAATCTAAAGTTTTTTATTTTCTTACTTTTGTCCTTTTTTAAAAAAAAATTATCCAAAAATTTTATTTCCTTTCTCTTTTTAGTAGTAAGTGGTCTAAATTATACCAAATAATGACAATGTTTATTTATTCAAGTTGTGTTTTTATTTGTAAATTTTATTTCATTCTAACATTAACAAAAAATTCTCTCTATAATTTTTCATGTTATTTCATTGTTTATGTCTTAATTATATGTTAGTTATTTGTTCGTTTGAATTATTATCTTTTATTTTATTTATTATATAATTGTAGAATATTGATATGATTTAATTTTATGATTTACTTTCTTTTATTTCATAAATAGTAAATTATTTTTTTAATAAAAATGAATAAATAATAATATAATTGTATTAATTTATAATACTAACGTATAACTTCTCTATCATTATGTATTATAAATTGATAAAGTCTAAGTGTGTCTATCTTACCTTGACTTTACACTATTAATTTATCATATTTTATCTTCAATTAATTAGATAATTATCTTAACATAACAATTTATAATGCTAATGTGTAGCAATTCTACTTTTATATATTATAAATTGTCAAAACTCATGTGTACCAACGTTACCTTAAGTTTTATACACCATTAATTTCTAACAAAATTAATCAATTATATTATTATTTTTATTTAATTAAAATATATCATCTAATTAATAATATTTCTTTATTTTCTATTGTAAAAAGTAATTCATTTATTTAATTAAATTATTTTTATCCTATTTATGCAACAATTTATAGTGTTATTGTATTGCATCTCTACCTTTATACACTTTAAATCGTTAAGATTTTGGTGTATCAACGTTACCTTAGATCTTATGTAACATAAATTTATCAAATGAAGTTTTAATTTTTTATTAAATAAATATTTTCTTTAATCAATTGAAATATATTTATTCCTTTCATTGAATCAAATTTATTTCATATTTTAAAATTTTCTTTACTCATATTTCTAATTTTGATAAATTAAATAACTAAACATTTCTTTACTTATTTATACAAATTTCTACAATATTGATATGTAATTTATATTGCCTTCGATTATCTAATAAATTATAAAAGATTTATGTATAGCTTATAAATTCTCTTTCAATATGAATCTTCAAATTCAAACATTTTTTCATTTACAAATTATAATATTTTATTATTATTATTAATTTTTTTTAACAATTTGTAATATAGTTGTGTGATTTTTCTTTACCCTTTGTATTGTTTCTCTTAGGATACATGTATAACCGCATTATCTTATATCCTAGATATTATAATCTTAGAAAAATAATTTTAATCACAAAATAACTTTCTTTTACTAAACTTAATTTTAATCCACCAATTTTATGATTTTTATGATAGAATTACATGACTTTGAGTTTTCCACTGCACTTGGAGATATGTAGGAGTAGGAACCGAACCTATCAAGTCAAAATAATTTTTTCTCTTTTAAGTTACCCATTAATATTTCAATAAATAATTTATTTTCTTTTAAAATAAAAAATAATAATTATTGTTTTGAGGTTAAATAAATATTTTTTAAAATTAAAATAAATTTGCACAATTAATTATAGGTAACTGTTATTTAAATGAATTTAGTAGCATACTAATACCTTTTCTATATGTAAATAACTCCTGAACTTATTTTTGGTTTTAGGGATCATTTTTTAAAGTTTTTTCAAGATTTTTTTTAATAAACTTTGATGGTGACTCCTCTGATTTTTTTAAAAATATTTTATTTCTAAAAGATGTTTTTTTAATACATTTTTATCGTACCATTGCGACCGCCGATTGCGATAATGACCAATACGTAATTTGGATAGAACATAAATATTACAAAAGATAGCTGATAATACTAAGGGAAAAATTTTATATCTCTAATGACAAAATGTGTTACTTTACACTTGTTGTAAGGTTGGGAATTGATGAAGTTAATCAGGGGGAGTTTAGGTTGCCTTCAAGTTTATTTCTTAAAAAAGTTAGGTAAATATCATTTAAAAGTTTATTTAGTTTAAAAAGTTTGATTTAGGTAATCTCAATAGTCTTCTAAGCTTCATAATTAGTGTATAATAATAATAATAACAATAATAATTGTTTTTATTATTATTAGGCTAATATATATATATATATATATATATAATTGACACTGTTTATAAATTAGTTTTTATATTTAAAAAAATTATGTATTAATCTTTATATAAGTGTTTGTTATATTTTAGCATGATTGTCATAGCACTTTAATAGAACAAAACAAAATACAACAATTGACTAGAATAAAAGTTTTTTAAAAGTATAAGAATTAATTTAGAAAGGTACTATATATATATATATATATATATATATATTAATCAATTGTAATTTATAAGAGAATACATAATACCAAACTTATTTAAAAAAATACATGTATTATAACTTAAACTTATTATTGAAGCACACTTGTATAAAGATTAGAACGTAAGTTTTCTTAAGTATAAAGATTAATTTGTAAATAAATTTCAACTCTAATGATTAAATGTATATTTTAACTGATTGTAATTTTTAAAATAATACATCACACCAACTTGGTTGAAAAAAAACCTATACTATAACTCAAACTTATTTTAAGAGACATTTGAGTTTTGACTTATAGAAATGATTAAATTTTAGCATTAACACATAAATTTTGGTGACAAATTTTTTTAACTTATTTAAAATATTTATTATAAAGTAAAATTTTAAATAGGCTTGCCAAACTGAGTAAATTATAAAAGATTATCAATATTTAGTAAATAAGTAAGTTCAAGCCTTAAATTCAAAAGTCAAGCAAATCAAGCATCAACCTTACAAAACCTAGTTTAAACTGGGTAGTTGCACCCGTACTTGTAAGTGTTGTAGTACTTTATTAAGTCATTTTAGTAGTATCAAACATATATATATAATAATTTTTTTTTTAATTTTAATCTTCCTGGTCAAGTTATATTTTTAATGTGAAAATATTATACGCTCCTTTAAGTTTTTGATATAACTAGGGCTGTAGATCAGTCAGGGGCCAGCTGGTCCTCTGCGCAGGCCCTCCAAGTTATTAGGACCTTCAAATATACAAGCCCATCAAAATTATTTTAATATTTTTCTCTTAATTATCACAAAGCAATTTTGGTTGCCAACTGTCACGTATTTCTCTTTATCTCCATATTTAGTCTTTCTAAGAATTCACGCCTCAATCAATTGGCAAAATTAACTCTTCAAGTTTTTAACTTATATGATATTTTTCATAATTCTATCTACAATTTTCATTCAATTATGGGTGATTTCCCAAGCTCCCATAATTTTTTTCATCCTCTCTAAAAAAAAAAAAACTGTCAATCTAAATCTTTCTACTTCCCTCTCTAATTTAATCAAGTAACGGGATAAAGAAAATTTTTTCCATTCGTGGATTATTTTCGATGAAATCATTAATTCAATTGTTTTCACAATCAAAGTTTCTAATTTATCTCTGTCAAGCGACTATATTTTTCTCCTATTATATGTGAGTACCCATTCAGCTATTTTCAACCATTCTTCATGTCAAAAATCAAAATTGTTTGTTGAAGAGGAAAAAAATACAATTCGATCCATACTTTTATCAATGATTCATCTTCTCCAACATCCAGAAATATCAATTCAGGTACTTTTTTTTTTAAAATTAAATTACACCAACTTTTGAATTTTGAGATTGAATACTTTATATTATTTTCATTTTGAAGGTTGAATATTTCAATTTCAATTCAACTATGACTATATTAATTACCAATTATGAGTTAATTACAAGTAAGTTCCTGTTGTTTTTGCTAAATTAGAATTAGCAGATTATAAGTCAATAAATGCTTTTTATTTTTTAGTATTAATGTGTGATAGTTTTCAACAGAGAATAACTACTTTTTTTCCAAGATTAAACTTTGTTGGAGAAATAATTGACAGTGACATAAAATTTTGGAGAGATAATTGCCTAAAAAAAATGGGTCCTAAGACTTGGTTGATGAATTTGTTTTAAAAAGTGTTAGAAGGACAACTCTTTTTAAGTATAAGGTTATTTTAGTTTGATATTTCGTTTGAATGTTATTATCAAAAGTAGTTTGAATTTTTTTGTGCTTTATTTTGTAAAATACAGTTGTATTATAATATTTTAAAATATTAAAAATATAACTTTATTTTATTTTTAAAAATTAGAAACAAAGGAGCCCAATTTTTAAAAGTAGAACAAGGTCTCCAAAAAATTTAAAATAAACTGGATATATCATTAGCCTTCTCTTTTCTCTATCACGTTTTATCATATTTAAATATTCTTTGTGAAGAAGCCATTACTTTCTTAATAGTCAATGAAACGCGGAAAGATTGAGTTTAAGATAATAACATTCAGTCAAGACTTGTTTTTTAGTATTGGCATAATTTTTATTTAAATCTAGATTGAATTATAATTTTGGTTTCTATGTTTTAATTCATGTGTAATTTTATTCTTTTTAGATTTAATTGCTGACATTTAACTCTTTTTAGTTTTGTAATGATTCAAACTAAGTTTTTTTACCTTTAAATCTTGTCTCCTAATTAATAAAGGTATAACAGAGGTCATTAATCTATATGAATTAAAAAAAAATGAATGAAATATTTAAATAAATAATAAATAACATGCATAAAGTATAATAAAAAATTTTGCTTTTATTTAATTATATCATACATATTTTTTCTATACGAATGTTTACAAATCAATGATATATTACATTTTAATAATTATTATATGTCATCAATTTTCTTTTGTCACGCTCGCGCTGTACCCGACCATTATCGTGGGACAATTGATTCCAGACATGAGCTTCCAAGAAATTCATAAGAGTGAAATGGAGTGTGTGTTTGTGTGTATATAAGTGAAGTGATTCAACACTTAAAATATCTGTTCTGTTTTCCTAAACATGGGAAGATACCTACTTCCTGCCTTTGCGCTACTTTTGCTGTTAGCTCAAATTATTCCACAAAGTCAGTTATGTCTGTGTGCAAATTCACCCGTTGCCTGCATAGGAAAAGAGAGAGAAGCTCTTCTCAAATTCAAAGCCTCCTTAACCTCTGATCAATCAAAGAGGCTTCCGTCGTGGAAAGGTATTGATTGTTGCCAGTGGGAGGGAATAGCCTGCGACAATGTGACTGGACATGTTGTCAAACTTGATCTCCGAAATCCTTGTTCGCCTCCATCTTGGCCAAAACAACAATTTTTCGATCCTCCAGAGGATTGCGACTATGATGACCCATTTTACATAGAAGCTGCAAACGTTGATTCAAGTCTATTGCAGTTGGAATACTTAACATACTTGGACCTCAGCCGAAATCATTTCTATGGGAGTCAAATACCAATGTTCTTCGGCTCTATGCAACGTCTCAGGTACCTTTCTCTCTCTGACTCTTATTTTGGTGGCAGGATTCCGAGCAGCCTGGGAAATCTCAAGAACCTGTCCCTTCTTGATCTCAGTTGGAATTTTTATTTAGAAGCCAATGACATCAATTGGATCTCTCAACTCGAGTCATTGGAACACCTTGACATGATTGGTGTTTACCTTGGGGACGCACACAAACTATTTCCTTTAGTTAACAAGCTTCCTTCCTTGTTACGTATTTACTTGCGTGATTGTGGTCTTCACAGTTCACTCATGCCTCTTGTTAATCTCACTAAAGTTCAAGTTCTTGACCTTGGGGAAAATCAACTTACACTTCCACTTCTCTATAGTTTCCAAAACATGACATCCCTCGTCCACCTTGATTTTTCAGGGAATCAGTTCGATGGATCAATTCCTGATGCTTTTAGAAACTTGACTTCCATTCAATTCCTTTACCTTTCTGACACCAATATAACTTCAATTCCATTATGGTTTCCAAACTTTGACAAACTTGTGCATCTTGATCTTTCATACAACGGGCTTCATGGTCAAATTCCTGATGCCTTCAAAAATATGCCTTCCATTCAGTTCCTCGACCTTTCGTGGAACTATTTTACTTCAGTTCCTTCGCGGTTGGCCAACTTTAAGCTTGTAGATATTGATCTTTCAATGAATATGCTCCATGGTCCAATTCCTGAGGCATTTCGAAACATGACTTCCATTCAATCCCTCCAACTTTCATATAACGCTTTCACTTCAGTTCCATCATGGTTTGCTGAGTTGAAGAGCCTTGTCCATATTGATCTTCATCAAAATGAACTCACTATGATGGATTGTTCTCTTTCATCAATTCTCAAAAGCATGTGTCATTTAAAAAGCTTAGATTTAGCAGAAAACAAGCTTCGAGGGGAACCATTTGGACATCATGAATTATCTGGATGCAATAAATATGATTTGGAAGAACTGTATTTAACTAATAATGAATTTAGTGATCAGTTGCCAACTTGGTTGGGACAACTTGAAAATCTAAAAAATCTTGATTTGAGTTCAAATTTTTTTCATGGGACTCTTCCCCAAAGGCTAGGGAAACTTGTAAATCTTCAATATCTTGATCTTTCAAACAATTCTTTTATCGGTCCTATTCCTTACAGTTTCAATCAACTTATAAATCTTCAAAGTGTGGATATTTCATCAAATAAGTTAGACAGAATGATTTCTGTGGGAAAAGAGTGGTCTTCAATCATGCCTCGGTTAGAGTTTTTGAATCTCTCAAATAACCAAATCAATGGTTCACTTCCAGGAAATATGGGCCATATAATGCCTAATTTGCATACCTTGATTCTCAAAAGTAACCAAATAAGTGGCTCAATACCAGTCTCTCTATGCCAAGTTATGATAGGCTACCTTGAGCTTTCAAATAACAACTTATCTGGTGAAATTCCCAATTGCGGGAACCATAATCTATTTCACTTGAACCTTGCCAATAACCAAATCAATGGTACACTTCCTAAAAACATTGACCATATAATGCCCCAAATCACGAATTTGTTACTTGGGAATAACCTCATAAGTGATTCAATACCAACCTCTTTGTGCCAAATGAAGTTGGTCAACCTTGACCTTTCAAAGAACAACTTATCTGGAGAAATTCCAAACTGTTGGAAGGATAATGAAATATGGACAGAAATAAATTTCTCATCAAACAAGCTGTCAGGTATGTTTCCAAGTTCATTGGGAAATCTTTCTTCATTATTATGGTTGCATTTGAATAATAACAGTCTTCAAGGAGAGCTTCCAATGCCTTTGAGAAATTTGGAGGAATTGGTACTTTTAGATCTTGGTGAAAATCAACTTTCTGGGAGTATACCATCATGGACCATAAACATTTTTCCTTCACTACAAATTCTTAGATTGCGAAAAAACATGTTTACCGGTAAAATTCCTTCCCAACTATGCCAACTCACAACATTAAAGATTTTGGATCTTTCTCATAACAAATTGGAAGGTTTCATACCTTGGTGCATAGGCAATCTCAGAGGAATGACTCTAAACAAATTATCAAACCAAGCAGATGGAGAATTGGCTCCCTTCCCTCAGAATACAGCAAGGGCAGAACCTCCTGAACCTGAATGGTATAAAGAGGATGTCAAAGAAACTATGAAAGGAATAGAACTTGATTACATCAAAATCTTGAAGTTAGTAGTGAACATGGACTTTTCAGAAAACAATTTGATTGGATCCATACCCATTGGAATAACTCGCCTTACTGGATTGCATGGCTTGAATTTGTCAAATAATCATTTAAAAGGAGAGATCCCTAAGATGATAGGGAATATGAACTCATTGGAATCCTTGGATGTATCACGTAACCTACTTTCAGGCATAATTCCAAACAGCATGTCTGCTTTGACTTCACTTAGTCATTTAAACTTGTCACACAATAACCTTTCAGGACCTATTCCCAAAGATAATCAATTATTAACTTTGGATGACCCATCTATTTATGTTGGTAACTTGTATCTTTGTGGATCTCCACTTCCAAAAAAGTGTCTTGGTGATGGTTTGTATATAGCCCCTGCAAGCAAAAGTAACATAGATGATGATGGCAACAAAGATAAAATAGAAAGAATATGGTTCTTCTTTGTCATAGCAATTGGCTTTGCAACTGGTTTTTGGGGAGTTATTGGTTTTTTATTGTTCAAGAAGAGTTTTAGACATGTTTACTTTAGATGGGTGGATGAAAAAGCAGATGATATTTATGTATCAATAGTAATCAAGATGGTAAAGCTGAAGAAGTTAATGGGGTTGAGAAATTGTATTCGTGGGTGATTGTTGTTTCTTTTCTTTTTCCTTAAAAGTTTCTAGTTGAATAGGTTTATGTTTGTTTGCTTTTATTTTCTCTGCACGTGTATCTTTAATCCACAATATAGTGTTTGGCTTTTCTACATATATAGATTTGCTTATAAATTGTACGAAGTAGCTTAAGCTTTTATGTTTCACCACCAACCATTGTTTTCAGCAAATAAGCAAATGCCATAAAATATAGTCTCAATGTTCCCACGTATGTGTAGACTTAATTAGTAAAGCAAGAAGAATTCGTGAATTTGTACTTATGCACATGCTTGGAATTCATTCATCATTTAATTTATGTTAATTTACACGGTAATGTAGGCTAAAAAGAAAAAAATCATAAACCATATATAAAGTGGTTGAAAAAGTTTCAAAGTTAGCATTTGAACAATAGAATGGTCATCCAAAAGAATCAACTGATCTATCAATAATTTTTATAAACATGTACTTAACAACTGCATTAGACCAATTAATGATATTAAAAAATGTTTCTAAATAAAAGCTCTGAGAAATCTTTCATTGTCAATGGTTAATATTAAAAAAATTGATGTAATTATTAAAGTGAAAAATAATAAGTTATTCAAATAATATTATAAAAGGATTATACTATACTTTAAGGACCGGATTATTTGTAAGTATCTTAAAAGCATTAATTTTTTAGATTATGATCTACAAAAAACACAATATTCAATTAATTTAAATTGTATTCCACTGCTTAAGCATGCAAAGTTGAAACTTTTAGTAGTATTTTGCTCATTCAAGAAAACATTGGTTGATTCATCCATGTTAACAGAATTGGACAAATATATTAGCACTGCGTAAAGTAAAAAATATAGCGAAAAAGTGAATGAAGGTAATATAACAGGAAAACACAAAAGTTCATCTGCGTAAAAACAGAGTTTTTATTCACTGTTGCAGACGCACATTAGGATTTTAGGACATAGGTTCTAAATTATAATAGCTAGAAAACTATTTTAATTGAGTGATTTGTTTCTCAACTTGATCTGTCAACAACTCTAACCATCAATAGCTGGGATATGTGTGGATTTTCTAATTCTTTAAATTAAAGTTGTCTCTAAAATCGCATTTTGAATTAAATAAGAAAAAGTACAAAGATAATCAACAAGTTTACTACGTAAGAATTAGGAGTTTAAAGAAAATTGAAATGAAAATTTCCCATAAACAGTCAGGAAATTACCCTTCTGCAAATGCCTTTCTTAAAACCTTTACTTCAAAGCCTTGATAAAATAATAACGTTTTATTGTATTTTTATGATTATTTAATTTTAATAAAATTTAATGTAAACAATATATGATTATATTTTAAAAAATAAGATTGAGAATTTATATTTAATATATAAGTTATTAGCAGTGCAAATTAATAGAACTTGTATAAATATAAATTAATTTGATATAGTGTTAAAATATAAAATCAAATTTAATTCAGTAATTAAAATAGTAAAAAGGAGTAATTATAATTTCTAGTATTTTTTTACATAGACTATTCTTAAAAATATTATATCTATCAAATTTATTATTATTGAGACTAATCAAAGACATATGAGATTTCAAATTACAATAAAGAGAAATATAAAATAAGATAAACAAGAAATAAAAAAGCAACCAAACAAAATAAAAACATGGGCGGAAAGAATTAATTACAAATAGGTCTAGGGTTTTCGTTTTTTTACTCTTTTTATGAACTACACCTTAACTATATGGCTAGACACTTATTTCAAATGTACTAGTGTTCAATAATAATAATAATAATAATAATATTTAAGAAAAAAACTCTTCCTTAAGTTTTTATAATAATGCATGATATATATATATATATATATATATATATATATATATATTACTTCTATCTCCTCACAATTTTCATTTCTATCAATTGAATATATTTTTTAATCACTAAATTTAGTATTCTTTCATAGTTTTATCACTTTAATTAATGTCTTCTTTTTTTTCCAACAATTCACTTAATATTTTAGTTACATTTTGAAGTAGTTATAAAATAAAAGAAGGGAAATTGAATTTTTTTCTTAACAAATTTAATTTTGTAAAGTGCAAAACATATAGAGTTAGAAGAGAGACACAAAAGTTTATACATATTCACTCTCAAATTCAAGGAATACATGTAGTCTTGACATTATCTATATTAAGAGTGTCATATTAATAAATATTAAATAATTATATTATAACCCAAGAATTTTAACACTAAATCTCTCAAAGCTTAAACGTCTCAAGTATACATTGTTTGTTCGGATGCAAATTAATCCCACTCAAAGTGTGGCTTACATCGCCTTCTTAGCTCACATTGTTTGAAACTATTTTGAGAAATTATCTTCTATATCACTTTTTTATGAGAGTCTCTTCAATTTATAGAATATAAAAAAATATATTTTAAACATCTCTATATGACTGTTGATACACTAAATTACCTTTAAGTAAACTTTTTTAATATGACCAGGTCATTTTTATTATAAGTGTACTTATGAGATTTTTGTACTCTTGATTCTTTTTTCATTCTTTTTAGTGTAACATATAAAAAGAAGTGTATTTTTTTCTTTTTCACATAATTATCTTTTTTACATAATTAATTCATTAACAAGTACATATATGAAATTAAAAATACTTTTTATATATGTCAAGAATATTTACATATGAATCAAAGACATTGTGTACATGTTCTCTCCTTTTTGTCATTATCAAGAATAAAAATAGTAGTTAAATCCCCTTGCTATGCATATAATAACATGGTCTACTAGAGACAATAGACTCCAAATGAAAAATACAAGAAAAGAGGCCTATAATGACACTTTATTGTTATTTGACAAACTATTTTTATTAGCAACCTGAGTTTATAGCATTTGTCATTGAGAGGTGGTTGAGGTGCTACAAGTGATAAAGAAAAAAGGTGGAGGAATATATGTATAAGAACATCTATATTTTATGTGTAGTGGTCTTGGTAAAATGATAATAACCCAGAAGGAAAATGAAAAATGAATCTTGGAGTTACCACAAAAACTAATAACAAAATCTCTTGGAATGTTTTTTAGTGGCTAAGAACGAAAGAAATTTTAAAAAAAATAAAGAATAATATATGATGTATAATAAAAACGATGATTCTCAACATACTCCGTTAATTGCGAGATATTCAAGGAAGATGCCTCGGCCATCACTTTGGCTATGTAAACTACTAGCACCAATCTAGTGTCTTCTTCGTCTGGATCAAGCTTCGACTATAACAGTTGAGATTTTTTATTAGTGAGAAAATGTGAAGTCATATTTGAGAGGATTGGATGAGATCTAGATCAAATGATCTTACCCTTATTTAAAATTATCTTCAAACATGGAACAAGACTATTTGAAGCAATGAAGGTCTTAGTGGGTGGGTGAACAACACAAATTTGCCCAAAATTTGTTCAAGAGCATGTTGAACTTCATTCATTCTTTTGACCAACCTTACTCTTTAATAAGTTGATTAATAAGTCATTAGTGTAACACCGTAATTTAATATTTCAAATAAATAAATTTCGCAGTAAGTGAGAATACTAGTAATAATTTCATTCAAATAGTTTCCAATATGGTTTCAATAAAGTATTTAAACAAGGGAAGGTTACAAGTTTGCATCAAAATAAATGCTATATGAACCATTTAAATACATCACAATTTTCAAAAAAATAACTTCTTAGTCCTATAGCAGTTTTATCCCTCTTGTACACTAAGTCTGATACTGATCATCTTAGTCACCTGAAAAATAAATTTAAGGGTGGGTATTCTACACTATCACACAAAAGTATAGAAACTCACCTCACACATTACACACCTTTCTAACATTATCCAAATCACGCATCGAACAAGCATAAAATAACACATCTTCACATTCCATTCCAATTCACATACAGGTGCGCTTACTGCACCATTAAACAATTCACATACAACACTCACGTGCGCTCACTACATATTAGTCACGCTCACTATGGCACTGTGATCACGGATTCTTAATGCCCTCAACCTTAAGGACTTACTCAGTTTCACACTATGAATGGTCGCTGAATAGCACCCACTCCATGGATATAACGTGTGCAATACTAGACCCCCTAGCAAAGGTGTTAGTCAGAAGTGAGTCAGGAGGAGAGTGTGTGACCTGTGGTGCATCAACACTCACTGTCGGTGTCACCACTACTCTCTTCCCCAAGGTATTTCTACCACTCACATCTTCCCCACTCCAGGGTATCGCTGAACCATTTATAATTTCTAACCAATTCAAATACAATCACACTTAGCATACCATTCACATACATTCTCACCCATTTCATATTATTCAAAATCAATAAATGGCATGTCTACACATACATTCACCCACATTCTTAATCACATCATGATATTCACTTTCACACATGACACGTATGCCCACATTCAATCAAATCACTTCAACACACACATCATCCATTATTTATTATACTGTGTCTAACACAAAATTTCTATCAAAACACACCCTTTCCTACGCTCTATCTCAATCACAACTTAACAAACAACATAAACAAATTTCACAATATAAAGAGATAGGGTAGAGTCTCCCCTTACCTCGGATCGAAGACCCAACATGAAACTCAGTAATGAAAATTCTCTCCACATGGATTTTCATCCTAAACACATGGAAAACTCCCTGAAAGACCGGGAAAACAAAGAAAGAGATGGAAAATTGAAACCCTATCTCTCAAAACTTACCTCAAAACACGATTTCAACCTTCAATCTTACACACAAACGGCTTTAGAGGTAGTTTAATCGGTGATGGTAGAGAGAATTGAAAGAGAGTTTGAAGAAAGGGATGAAAATGAGTTTTTCCAATCCTAAACCCCTCAAATACCCTAAGAGTTGTGATATTCTCGATACAGCGAGACATCTATCTCTATAGCGAAAATCTCAGATGATTATGTACTCTAATTTTTGTAGAATCTCGCTACAGTAAG